AGGATAACATGTGAAAAAAAAAAATATAGTTTATATATTTTTTATATTATATCCCCTGATATTTTTTTCATTTTTCTGGGTAGTTGATTTCACTATGGGTCCCACATAGTTTCACCTCACCTTGTCCAGACTTGGAAATATTATTTTGCCACATTATTTTCAACCAGCAAACCTTAATTTCCAAATGGGCCCTTCGTGCAGTTAATTTTACTCCTCTTCGAAGTAGAAATTACAAATCATACCATTCACTTCAAATTAAAATAATAACAATAATAATAATAATAATAATAATTTAGCCTTCCGTTTCCGTCGCACGCTGCAAAGCGATTTCAATGCACATGGAGAAATGGGAATCCTCTTTATCTGGAGACTCTAACCAAATTAGTACCATTAATATGAAAACTTTACTTTAGGAGAGTGTTTGAGTCAAGAAAATGGAAAGTTAAGAATTTTCGTCCAATCGAATGAATTATTAATACAAATAGGTTGTTAATATTAGAAATAAATTAAGATGTTTTAGTCTGAAAATTTATTAAAACAATATAAAATTATCTTTCTTAATATTTTACAGGAATAACTGCTAAGTATATACACATACTACTAAATGCAGCTGCTTGAACCAAAGAGGCAGAAACAAACTTGTTCCAAAGTTCAACTGCAATACAATGGGAAGGGATTTTTTTTTTTTTTAAATCTCTTTTAGCCCAAATAGCTAAATGTAAAATACACAAACAACCAAATCTAAATTGAATGTCTAATTTACATGGTACGAATAAATCTAGAAGATGCATGCACTCATTGGAAATTATCAGCTGGCCTGGGGATAACCAAAATCTTACTGCACAGGATTTTCAACTGTAGTCTCATCTGGTTTGTCCTCAAGGCGAAGCCTTTTTGGACTTGCTTCGGATTTGGGGTTGCTAATTTCATCAGCTTTATGCTTTGACAGCTGAGGTGATGATGATTCAGTTTTTGATTCTGGTGGTCCAGAAGGCAAGGCATCAACTAATGGAGAAGAATGTCGCAACTCAGAGTCATTGTGTGAATCATTAAGCGGTGACAAGGTTTGAGGAACCAAGGCACAACCAGCTTTCTGCTGTTCCTCCAAGATCTTTTGCAAGTACCTTGCATGCTCTTCTATGCGTAACTGAAGTGTTCTTTGCAACTGTGCATCAGATTATAGAAATGGCGGAGAAAGTCAAAAATCAACAGAATGCATGCCAAGGACCGTATATTTTATGATTATAGCAGCTCTGACAAATCTTTAAACTAGCTCATTCTACATCTATTGTTTAGATATCAGATGGACCAAACAGGTAATCCAAAGGTAACAAAAATGAAGTGCCCAACTGACATGTATTGAGTAGCATGTTGATGGTGTTGACAGATAAATCAAACTGAGTCACTTAATGTCAGTAAAGTGAATGAAGGAGTGGGAAAATCAATTTACATAACTAGGAAGGAGATAACAGGATAATTCACTCAATCCAAGATAGGCTCGTATTCAGTCACAATTAATATGGTGGCATTTTGAGACAGACATGAATATACCTCGAGCTGTTCATGCAATTGTTTCTGAACTTCCATTTGCATGCGCAGAGCTTCCGCGATTTGTATGCTCCTAGCACACACATACACAAAAAAGGGTATTTATCATATTGTTTGAAACAATAAAGCAAGGCAGCATGAATGGCATGAGAAAACAAGAAATTGATCGTCACCCTTTCTTCTTTCCATCAATTTCATGGCCACTTGAAGTTGGTTTCTTATCCTCGATGTTAGATGACTTCTTCTCTGGAGTTAAGAAGAGCAAAATACATGTCAATGACTCGTGAAAGACAGATGACTGTCACAAAAGAAATCAAGCATTGGATCATTCATCAAAATGACTAACTTTTAGGATTGCAAAATAAAGCAAGAGCAATCCTAAAATAATTAAAGCACTGTTAGGGACCAGTAAAAATACTAGCAGTAGTCAACATTGTTCACACCACAGTAGGTGAAGAACCATCGCTAGTATTACTGGTTCAGACATTCTGTGGTCCTCAGACCAAACAGCTGAGGATACAATGAAAGAGGGTAGGTGATGAAGGACATATTTGAGAAAATCTGTCTTCCAGTGGATTTGGGTTGATTTAGTATTTTTTATGCTAAATCGTGACCAAAAAATTGAAGGGTTAAACCACCAATTCAAGCACTGTGCGGGTATTAGGAACAGTATCCGTAAATATTAGTTGTTTGAGAATGAAAATTTGGAAATAAAGTTAATTTTGCTTGATTGGCTTGAAACCCATTAGAATGAAACTCTAGGTTCTAAGAGAATAAATTAAGCTGAGACCAGATAAAAAATTTATTGTTTACACTCCTGGAACTGAATAAGAAAGAACAGAGAAACACTTGCTCTTTCACCTAGTTTTCCTTGAGAACACACCGAAGATTGATTGATTCAGACAATCAGATACATGCATATATATATATATATATATATATATATTTAATGTTATTCAGACAATCAGCTGTAGAAGAGCATAGTCGCTGGAATTGCCATTCAAACAAACTGAAAATAATAAAACATCCATACCTTCCAAAATAGAGAAGGAAAAAAACTAAAACAAAATATTTTTGAGACTCCCCTAACCTAACAACATATAAAATGCAGACTAACAATACCTATTTACGCTCCAAAAAGCTTTTTATCGTTGTCCATTTTTCAAATTAGAGGCTACCATTTGGGTAATGTGCCTTTTGGAAACCTTAGGTAGCAGCAATGCAGCATTACCCCGAGATAATGGCTACACAAACGCTACAATGTCAAGATAAAAATAAAAATGGAAAGGATATCAAGTGACTAGAAAATGAATGTGGTTGCATACTCTAGAGTTTGACAGGCTGTCAAATACGACCCTAGGAAGAGAACTGTGATGATGGCAAAGGAGGTTGTGTAGATTTTTTCAAAAAAAGAAAAAAAAAGAAAAAAGAAAATAAAAAAAAGAAAACACGTTCATAACGTGCAAAGGTGTGACCTTCCAAGGGGTTGTGACTTTCCTGAGAGTTATATTTACTTATGTCCTAATCAAACATTATACTGAGGAGGTATTGAGGTGCAAACTAGTACACCATCCTGGGTGTTATGCTTCAGGCAGATAATCTAGGCCAAAACTGATATTTCAACATTATCTAACATAACTGCTGCATAAGTATAAATGAGGAACTGAGGATAATAATCATAACTCATAAGAATAAGTTATCTCCTTTATATAAATTCGCTACCTTCTTTCTTCTCGGGCATATATTTGGCAAGGCGATACTTCTGTAAAAGACAAATAAGGACATGGGATCAAAGACAAATAAGGACATGGGATCAAAAACAAGGGTAGCTAATAAAAAATATGTGCACATTTTCATAAGAAAAGTATATGTTCTGATTGATCATCTACTTTAGTACCTGCAAATGGCTCTTCACATGGTAGATAGTCAAACCTTCGACGTTCATAAGCTTTAATACACCCTTTGGGGTTGCCTCTACATTTAAGTAAAATGAGATAGAGTGATGAGTTCCATATAGCATATTTTATTTTATTTTTTTCAAATTTCACTCAGTTTAGCAATGGAGTCGTGAATTGATTTTATTGCAACTAAAACTAAAACCCCTCTTTAAGACAGAAAAGAGCTAAGTCATGCATGTTTATCTAGTAGAGATAACTATCCTACTTACTCTCTGGCCCATCAAGCTTGCTGACAGCTTCTACAAAACACTCATGTAGCTCAGGTGTCCATCTCATTCTCGGCTTGTGGACAGTGGTTGGCCCAGGAGATGCAAGAGATGAAGGAGAGTCAGAACATGGTGTCCCAGCAAGATAACTTTTGTTACATGTCAGCCCTATTGCTGGTTTTGATGCAGGTTGGGGTGTTTCATATATTTCCTGCATGGAACATCATTTTTCTAAGCAAGAAAATTGTAGAAACAGGAACAACTAACTCCTATATTCACCACCATCTTCCACTCAATATTGGACTGAGAAAACTGTTTAAAAATGAAACATTAATTATAGGTCTAATTCTTCTTGATTATTTGAAAGCAAATAAGTTTCAAACTGCCAGAAATGTATGCAATTATTATTTAACAAAATAACAGCTGAAATTTACTTACATCAAGCCTGGGATTTTCCCCATGGTCAGTGATAGCTATGTCAAGTTCATCTGATAGAAATTGTAGCTCTAACTGTTCAGTAAGGGCCAAACCATCGGTTCCACAATGCATATCAGGAAAGCTACCATCAGAACAATCACCAGGCAAATTAAGGAAGTCTTTAATGAGAACTTCTGAGTTGTCTTCATCATATGGATTGCCTATATCCCCACTAAAAACTGCTGGAGACTTGGATGAATCAGCAGCAGAAACAGACTGGTTACATGTTGGAGGATGGGGAAGGAATGGCAGATTTCCAAGCTGCCGCTGGGTTTCAGAAGTTGATGAGGACGACGAGTATAAACTTGTACAGAACACTGAAGAGCGTGAAGATGCACTCTTAGCATGTGAACTAGGAGAAACAGGACTACTTGGCCCAAATGTTAGACACTTACTCTGAAGTTGAATGGTAGACACTCGCATGTGATTAGAAGAACTAAGAGATTCTTTTTGTATGAAAGATGATGGATGTGAAGATACATATTCAGCAGCAAGATAACTTTGACCTTCTGACTCAATAGGCAGAAAATTATGAATTGGAGATACAGTGGGACAATATGAGTCTCTAATTCCCTTGGTAGAATCATTTTGTGTTATTGACATGATACCAGAGTGGTTCATAGTCTTAGATGACAACCCAACCTTCATCTAGCTACCAATTTGACAAACGCAGGGAACTACAGATGTTGGACTGCAGCACAGCAATTGAAATTCAAGGGTACATAAACATGAGGGTCCAAAGAGAGAGAGAACATGCATCAAAGGTTGTGTTTTGGCTGCAAAAAATGTCTAACAGGAGTCAACCATGATCTGCATGTCTGTGGATGACCCTACCATGTTATCAGAAGAGTTCACATTTTTTTTACACAAACCAAAAACTGCTCCAACCTGATATCAGTCACTCTCATCATTTAACAGTAGAAAGAAAATAAGCCTCTCAAATCAATTTACTGAATGCAAGGTCAGCAGAGCCACATCTAATTCAATTGAGCACCTATCTGATCACCTTTAGAAGACAAATAGAATATGCAGCCAAGAAACCCCTCAAAAATGAACCTACAAAACAACCCACCAATTCAGAAACCAGCACTTTATCATCTGGGGAACTCTAGGGGAATAAGTCATGCAAACAAAGATAAGACAAATAAACTCTAGGGGAATAATCATCTTTCAAAGCCATCCACACATCAAATTACTAGAAGACTTGTGTAAAGGAAACTTCCAAACAACACACAATCTAGGCTCTTTAAAAACACACAATTTATTTATTAACAAGCTATTAATAGGGCCATCTCAAATATAGGCACTTGGTAAAAGGCTATGTGTCATCCCCTTTACCCAGCTGACAGCAAGTAAGCGTAAAAACAACACTATCTATGAGTTAAAGGATGCACTAAGGTTTATTTGGGAGGAGAACGCTTCTGATGACTAGAAGTACCATTTAACTGAGGTTGACATTCTCTAAAAGTTCATCACCATCCCTTCTAATGTGCTGACTCAAAAAGTTAATCTTCAACTAATCTAAGCAAGTTGGTCAAGAACATAGCCTGATGACAACCATTCCTCTTTTCTAAAGTGGAGATACCAAGTTTGCATCAGTGCCTCTCCAAGTTATTAAACAAAAAAAAAAAAGAAAAAAAGAAAAAAGAAAAAGAGGCATCATCCAGCCAAATTTCAAACTTCAATTTCATGTCAAAGTCAAAATTATCAACGGAAGTATCACATAGAGATAGCAGAAAGATAGTATTTTGTGAGAATCACACTATCTCAAAGAGGAGAGGAAACTAAAAGTAAAAATCCTTCAACATCTATCCTATACAACTAAGAACTAACTAATAAGACGTCATATTTCCTTCAGAAAGATTACCAGATAAATGAAATTAAGGAGAAAAAGAAAAAAGACAAAGAAGAAGAAGAAAGATGGACTCCAAATTCATGGATAATCTTTTGATGGAAAGTCTATTCCCCCGGTAAAGAACCCTTAAATTAAACTTAAAAATTGGTAACTCCATCCTGACTCTAATAAAAGTTGGTGCAGCAAATTGTTATTTCCCCTGTTAAATTAAATTTGTTTATAGAGCAAACTAGCATTTATTTCCCAACAAAAGGTGATAACATCATCAAGATTTAATTTTGAAGTCAAAATCTAAACATCAGTGCATTCGATCTAAACACACAAAATTTAAACAAACCAAAAATGCACATAATTACCCAAAAACAAAAGACAATTCATGTATTTATTTTTGTAAAAGAAGAAGAAGAAACCCACGAAGATGCAACAAGGCTAAGAAGCTTCAACCAAAACCCAGAAGCACCGAGTCCCTAAGATTGCATACACACACAGAAAAATGATTCCAGGTGGGGAAATGGTCTGAATCTAAAGTGGGAAGTTGCAGCAAGCATCAGTAAGAAAACAGAGATAAGGGAGGGGAGTGGTAATTAATGCATCTACCTTACCAATATGAGTTTGCCAAGTAACATGTGTCTGCTATGCCAAAGCTGGAGGATTTCATGTCAATTGGCTGCGCTGTGGCTGCGGCAGCCAATGTATATCCAGATTACAAGGGAAGTACCGAGGGAGGAGAAACAAAGTCGTAATGTATGATTGATGGGATATCTATCAATGTTAACAATGTTGGTTGTGCCACGTGATCTCTCGGCATTTTTAGAACACGAACCAATCGGATTTCAAGATCCCCTGTCGTTTGTTTTCAATTTTGGGGTAATAATTCCAAAAAAAATACTCGGAGTTTCATAAAGGTAATTCTAGAACTAAGGTTACAAAATTATTATTTCTAATAAAATAATAATCCCACTTTCGAACAATATTTTTGTTCACTGATAATGACAATTTTTATTATGATTATTGAAGAAAATTAACTTTCAATTCTTTAAAAAAAGGGTTAGGTGTGGGTTTATTCATATAGAATTAACTATTAAATTAAAACTAATTCAGTAATTCTTTCTTATTTAACAAAAATATTATAGTTAACATATTATATAATATTATAAATTTATAATATAATATATCATTATATAATTAAAATTTTTATTTAA